TAGAACGTTCATGTCCCTTCGTGAAGTCTCGAGTGTTTACTAGATATGCGGTATTCTTGTATATAAGCCGCCAAGAAGTGACGTCAACAAGGTAATTGAACTGCAGACAGAGAGAGATTGACGACTGAGTCGAGCACGTGAATCGTTCGTTGTGAATTATAGCGTTTGTTATAGCGTGACTGTGGAAATTAAGTGTATTGCAAAGTTGTATTCAGAAAGAATAAACCAATTTTATTTAAGAAAGGACTTGTGTCGCTAAAGTTTCATCGGAAATATATTATACGGGAAATTAACTAACAACCAGAGACGTAACAATATGTTAATAAGTAACATCAAATACAGTTTTCTAAAAATTAACGTTTATTTAAACTTTACAGTCATATATTCATGAAAATACATTTAAATATAAAAACATATACTTTTATATAACTATAACTTCTGGTTAAATCAAGGTACCTACATAGATCACAACAAAAAATTAAGTAATGAATATAATTTAATATGCTGTTCTAATTAGGAATATGCAATCTTATATAAAAATAATATCGTATAATGATTAGAATGCGTCAATTCTTCAGTGGGTATCCCTCCTGTTATCGATATTTTCAGCTGTAAACCCAATCTTTCTTTTTAACCTTAAATTTGTTTTGCTTATTAGTTACTACATATCTGCATTATACCCTCGAATCTGATTCTATTTTTGACACTTTAAAAATGTAAATATATTATTTTGAAGTGGTTCCATGACGCGAGAATTGTTTTCTGTCTGGCCAACGCTTCACAATGGACTCTCTGTATTGTGCTCGCTGTGGGAAACGAACCTCAAACTTTTGGGTTACAAGTCTTCACGCTTAAAGATGGGCCACCATGGAATACCAGACGAAGAAATGAATAAAACGATGTTTAATTTTCTAGGATATGATTCAGTGTGCAGGTGTACGATTTTATATAATGGTGATAATTTATAAAGTAAAATGAGGATTGTTTGTTTGTTTGTTTTTGAATTTCGCGCAAAGCTACACGAGGGCTATCTGCGCTAGCCGTCCCTAATTTAGCAGTGTAAGACTAGAGGGAAGGCAGCTAGTCATCACCACCCACCGACAACTCTTGGGCTACTCTTTTACCAACGAATAGTGGGATTGACCGTGACATTATAACGCCCCCACGGCTGAAAGGGCGAGCACGTTTGGTATGACGGGGATTCGAACCCGCGACCCTCGGATTGTGAGTCGAGTGCCCTAACAACCTGGCCATGCCAGGCCATAAAATGAGGAACAATCTAAAATATGGTTATATTGAACAGTTATTTCTTCTGATGTCAATTTTTTGTGTTCGTTTTAGAGCATACCATATAATGTATCTGCTATGTCCACTGCAGGAATCGAACTCCGGGTTTAAGCGTTGTAAAATCTGTAAACTTATCGCTGCTCCATCGGTGTTAAATATTCGCCTTTATTATAATTAAGAAAAATTAGCATTTTTAATAAAGTTGATCACAAGCACAAGATAATTTGAAAACAAAAAACGTCAAGACGTCACAACTATATCTGGATGATTTATATCGGTGCGTTTTGTTAGAAACCCGTTTTTTACAGTAAGATGGACTAGTGTCTAATATCTTTAAATTATCTTATCTGCAGTTTTTATCTTGTGTTTGTGATAGACTTTATTTAAAATGCTAATTGTTTATATTTATAATAAAGGCGAGTGATTTAACAGAATTGATACAGAGTGATTAGAGGCCCATTGACAGGAAAATAATTCAGAATTATAAAAAAACAAAAAACTGTCAGTGGTGTGGAATGAGACGTTGTGAGCCTATCCTCTGAAAATATCATGAAGTTATTAAAGGTCATGTCCTTGGGGAGTTTTATTAATATGCATCGTAAACCCTAATTTTCAAAGACAAAGGTGTATATACTAACAAATTAAACCAAAGTTGCACCTGAGCAATGACAGTTATAGGTACAAACACACCTCTTGTATGCATATGGAGTAATACCACCCATAACTCCAATGATATTGTCACAGGGTGGGCCCATAACACCTCATTTTACTGCACTAACAATTATCTTCTTATACCTCTCTATTTCTGAATTATCTGCCTGACAATGGACTTTTATATCAGAGTTGTCTGGTATCACAAATGGTTGTATGGACCCAGCTGAACCAATTTTGATGAAATTTGGAAGAGGAACTCGCACAGACCACCTGAAGATCCTTTTTAAACAAATAGGCAATCGGACGGATGGTTAGAGTTTGACAGGCAATTTTAATTAATATAGCAAATGAGTGAGGAAGTTGGTAGAAAAATACGTCAAACCAATGCCAAACAAAAGTGATGTTCAGTGCCATGCACCGTGCAGGTACCTTTTTATTGGATGAACACAAGACTCAAAACAGTGGAATGGAGTGACTTATGCCTCCCCTTTATAGTCTTACTTTTTAAATCCAGCATGCCAGGTACCTCTTCTATTTAGCCAATAAATGACATTAATTTACCTTCCACTTTATACATCAGTATTGCTGTGGTTTTTCTCTCTCACCACTATTCTGAGATAGTTAACTAAAAGTAAAAGCTGTACATGAGCCATTTAGTTACATAAAATATAAACTGGGAATAAAAAAAGTGAATTATAGTTTTGAAAACATGATTGGTTAAAAACTATATCTAATCAAATAATTGGCTACTGTAATTTTTAGAATATTGACTTCTATATGAATCTCAATAGAAATTTACAAAATATTAATTTTTCATTGTTACATACACTATGTGGCTTCAGAATTTAAAGTACACAACAGACTAACAATTCTACACACTTACAATAATAATCTCAACATTTTATCTAGCTGTATTAAAACTAATATTTTTAAGTTACCATGTTAAATGGCAGATTTTTCAGTTCATAACTCTGAAGTTGTTTGTCAGCCACAAAAATCTTACAACCTTTTAGAAGTATATATATATATATATATTGCTATTTTTAAATTACTGTCTGTGACTTGATTCACAGAAAAATAGGTGTATTTGCATTTTGTATTTATGGCAAAGCTACTATGACTATTTGTTGTAATCCCAAATTTTGAACTACTGACCAATGGGAAGGCAGAAAGTTAGCAGCAACCTACTACCAACCATCCATGCTAAAAGATGTGACTGTCACTCTTATAATGAAGCTACAGCTTAAAGTATGTGCAATGAAGAGTATTTTATGCTATTGCATAGATTCAAAGCCAACTCTGAAATTCAGACTTCTACCACAAGGTCAACCTGTACCCAGAAAAACAATGTACATGAAGTTATAATCACATAAAAATAACTAATTCTAAACCATAGCTTAATATTGAATAAATTACTTAATATTTTTCCACATGTGAATTAGATTATGTTAGGTCTTTTTGATATTTGTAAAATCCTCTTTTCAAGTTTTTGGAGGCATGAATAGCAATACAGAAAATTAGCATAAAGACAAAACAGTATACAGTTATTTTTGGCTTCACTTGAACCATATTACATGAATATAACTGTATAAAATTATAAGCAAAAAATATATGTTTCCTATTTTCTGATCAGTGAACATGAGCTTTTAGAAAATGCACTCAATTATTTTACACATCCTTTTTTTATTTAAATTCATAAATTATGCTAAATAATAACTAGAAAAGCCAACAAACAGCAAATATCAATATAACATAATATATTATTGACTTTTTTTTACTCACATTAGTCTATTTAAATCTGATAACATTTACACCATTAAAACAAAGTTTAAGACTTAAAATTGTCACGTATATTTATGATAAATGTCTCCTTGATGGATGTATTAAAGTTATTTAAATATTTTAGCTTATTAACTTTTTAACCTTGATATGTTACAAACATTTTATTTTAATGAAATTAAGGAATGTGTTTCACCTTCAACAAGATTATAGATATTTGTGTAAAGAAAAGAAAAGTTATTATTTATAATCTTCTATAATTTTACCCCAAAAGTATAAAAAAAATGTATGCAACCCATGAGAGACAAATAAGTTTTTCATGAAACAAATTAAGTGACTGACATTTCATAGTAACATAACTTTTGTTTTCTCATAGTTGAGTGATGAATAAATAACTCAACTGCCATGTTTCATTGCTCAAAGCTTGTTGAGCACATTTTGTGTATATTAATATTAGTCTTATGGCAAGAAAACAAACAATTTGTCACAGACAAAAGTTAAATTCATTATGTATTCATTTCTGTAATCATTAGATGTTTGTTCTCTATCATGTTTTTTCACATGTGAAAATAATTAAAATTGTTCTTGAAAGTATTTTTAAATTTATATCCAATTACCTGTAATACTTAGTTTTTGTACAGTATTAGGCAAGAGAAGTGATGCTGAGGTGGTTTGGTCATGTGAAGAAAAGAGGAACAATGATTAAGGAGAGAATAAGAGCTACCGGAAGCTGGAAAGAGAAGACAGGGAAGTAAAGCATTGGAAAGATGGGATAAAAGAAGAAACAAACAAAACCTGGCATTGAATAATGATGATTGGAGGAGGGCAACACGTGTGAAGGACGGTCACCCCTGCTAAAGGAAAAAGCCAAAGAAGAAGATTAGTACTGACACTCAGCCTTAAAAAGTCTGACAAAAAAGTAACCAAAAAGATACTATATGTTCCTAAACATATGGAGTAAAATTGCAAAAGAAATTCCATACAAGTATGTTTTAGAGTACTTAGTAAAAGATATATATTTCAAATTCTTATTTAGATTCCATTACATAGAACCAACTACACGTTATTTCTTGCTAACCTGAAAAATACACATGTGAAAGATTAATAATAACTGCATATATTAATCATTTTTGAAGCTCAGCAATTATATCTATCAATGACTTTAAAAAATTTGAAGCAATGTTCAAATAAATGAAAAAATGTACAGGTAAAAATTTTAAAACATTTCCTAAAATATCTTCTTTTTCTTCTAAAACAATTAAAATAGGAAAAATTCTCTCTTAAAAAAATCTTAATGTTTTTTTTAATCTTTCAGATTAAGAAAACAATACTCCAAGTTGTAAAAATCTCTACAAATTAAATCATGTATCTAGAACTATCCAATTACAAGTTTCTTACTGCCTTTGTCTCTTTATAAAGATTCACAAACTTACAGTACATTTCCTGTCTGACAAACCAAGGTTCAGTAATAAACTTTCCAATAACGGGTGTTATATTCAATCTTTAATTTTCAAAGGACAGTAGCACAAAAACAGTTGTATATGCATGAAGCCATGTTCTGCCACTAATTCCTTTTATTGTAGAATTTACCTTTGTCTTCTCTTTGGTTTGCTTTGGAAGGTAATTTATTCCTAGTTCACCATTCCCAAAAACACCAAACAGAGGCACATTAGGAAAGACTTTATGAAAGGCTGTAGCCTCAACGTTTGATTTTTGATAAAACAGAGCACCCCTTCCACAGCAAGCAAACATAAAACCAAGACATTTTTTTCCAGGAATATTACATTCTTTCAATTTTTTCAATTTAATTTCTAATTCTTTGATTGTCTTTACATGCTTTTCAATAATCACAGAAGCAGCTTGAACATTTTCACCACTAAAGGCCACACCCCCTCCAATAGCACGGGATTCATTACCTACTCTAAAAGGAAATCCCAGTTCATGAACAATAGCTCCTCCAAGGGCAATGTTCTTTTCTTGTTTTACAAGATAGTGTTCAACTAGTGTCTGGATGGGGCAATCTTGCTCTAGAACTTCCATGAAAAATAATAATAAACACTTCACCTCAGCATCATTAGGTATGCCAGTAACTTGTGATATTTCCATCTTTTGAACTTTATGCTTGCTACGTTTATTTAAGCTGGCCAGAAATTGATTATGTTCTGTAACTGTGAAAGGGTAGACATTTACACCAGGGATGTCTGGCAAGAATACACCTGAGAACCCAGGATACTCTTCTGCTTCTATGGGTGCTAACCAATCCACAGGAGTTCCCACAATTCCTGGAACAGCACAGGCGAACAAGTAGCAAGAACGGGGAAAACTTTTAGCCAAAAAGTTCATAACTGCAAAATAAGGCAAAATACTTTTTACAAAGCTGTAACATTTTATATTTTCCAGACAGATCAGAGTATTGTGAGCCATGACTATGTGAACATTACTAAGGCCATTGTGGAAATTGTAAACATAAAACTATTAAGTGCTTAAGCAACCAAAAGAAAACATTTAATATTTGTTAGCTGTAAATCTTATGTTTTAAATAAAAAAGTATAAAATCATGATAACTAGATGATTGCATCATCATTATAGTGTTATCAATAAATTAGTGTTTAGTAATATTGAACTACATCATCCTGTTACATTTTAAGTGCTGATATTGACTTGACTACACTTTAAAACTGTATAGTTAACTTGATACACAGCATAAAAAAACACCTACATAGCTAACTCTGAATGCTTAAAATGTTAATTTAAAAATATTCTAACATTTATCATTAACTTCTGATCAAAGCCCACTACTACGTAGCTTTGTTTATTGAGTATTTTCTATATTTTTTACAAAGGAAGTGATGAACCTGAGGAAAGATTTGTAAATGTCGAGTAAAATTCTAGTGTTGAAATATAACTTAAATATAATAAAATTTCAACTTCATACTACTTAGCTTAATAACGTAATTTATTGTTAGAATAACATATGATGATGGATACATTTTATCTCTTCACCAGTCTGTTGTACTTTTCTAGTAATTCCAATATTTTTTCTTGTATAGTTGTAATTTGGATTAATTAGTCACATATTTATGTTTCTAGAAAGTTGGTACCTACGAAACACCATTTGATGTAAATATTCTAAATGGAGACAATATACGGCAGGTGGTGCCATCTCGTAACATAAACCCAAGCTCTACAGTAATCATTCTTTCAGAAAGTACATATATATTGATCACACTTGAGAAGTATTTGGCATGAATATATATACAAATCAATAAATTCACCTGAAAATACATTAGGTTTCTCTCACCTAAAGTTAGCCAGACAAATACATACATACATAGTAATGCATACACGTGCACTGTACTTCAGAGTGACCTATGAGTCAAGAGCTACGACAAAGGTAAACATTATTATGCAATGAGAGGAAGTGTTTACTTTCAAACTAGTACACGCATGCTCATAAAAATTACTTTGGCCTTTTCAAACAACAAGTTTATAATAGCCATATGAACATCTAAGAAACCTGAACCTTGTAACAATGCAAAAAATCCAACGAGGAAATGTGATTAAACCACCTTGTACAACTATCTGTATTATGTAAATAGAAAATAAAAATGATTAAAAACAAAGAAACCTGGCATGGTATGAAAGGAGAACTTACTTCTAGGTAGAAGAATCTTATCAGATATGAAGTCTCATAATAAAGTTTGGCCATAAACTGCAATTTATGTCTTATAATGTGGTTTGTAAAGAATCTTTCAGCTACACTTGAAACTTAATGAAGATTCGCATCATTTTAGTGAGCAAGCTACTAAACCAGACTGACTTAAAAACTTAAGGTGTGAATCAGAAAGGCAGTGTTAAGCATCTGTTTCCATAATAAGCAATAAAATACAAGTGTTTAACATTTTATACTTTTAGTTTATTGAAATTTTACTAAAATTTATTTAAACTAACTTAATCTAATTTCTTATAGCTACACACAGAGAAACATCTCCTTTTGTAAAGTGGTCTATACTTTGAGATGTTGTTAAATATATGGGTGAACAATATATTAACAGTGAAGATGAATTATTGGTTCAACAATATGAGAACATTATATTTTATAATTCATATTCTAACCATAGTTTGAACTTTACTGGAACGTGTTTTAAACTAAATATCATTAAATAATCAAAGAAACCTATATATCTTGACATCCATTACTAGCGATGCATCTACATGCGAGAACGTTTTATTTCATTTTTGAGTTTATACAAGTTCAGAAGTTACTCATCATTACTGTTGTAAAATTCAAATTTTACATTATATGGCTGTTTCAAAGTGATCTTCATTCTTCTCTGTTCAAAAGCTAAGTATCTACATGAACATGTAAACACACACTGTACATGCTCTACATTAAAGAATGTTAACCTTACATGTATACCCTGTAACCAATTAAAAAAATAAATAATGGTTTTTATTCCCCATATTTGGAAAGCATGCAGTCAAGCCCAGATAGAAGAGGCTAGAACTGCATGAAATAGAGCTGCTGTTTTGCACAGGTAATCAGCTTCATAGGACACATGACATAAAATGAACAATGTAGCAATGTCAGTTATTTACAATGATGATTTTACCCTACTCAACACAGATGAAAACAAAGGCAAGGCCTTCAAGTTCAGATACATTAACCAATGCGACAATGTAGGAGAGGATTAAGCCACAGCAATCCTTATCTGAGCTATAAAAACATGCAGATTTGGAAGCTATTTTTAGCATGGACAAGATAAAGATACAAGGAGCCAAAAGTAGTACATCTAATGATGGAGCTCCAGGTTCCAATTGTGTAAGAATCTCCCCTTCAAGAAGATTAGAGAAACCAACCTGTTGAAGTTAGTATTGGAGAATCAATGCAGCTGGGCAACATGTAGTATCCTTTAAATATGTACTGATCCCTTTATCAAATGCTCATCCAAGTCCATGAAGGGTCACTCATCCTACAGAATACAATTGTCAAGATCCAAGATATAGCTGTAGCTAGAAGGCTTGCCTATTGGATGAACCACCATCATCACTAAGTTGTTATTACAGTGGAAAAGAAATGATGAATTCACACTTAATACATAGGAAGGTTTTTAAACAAGTAAGAATACCTTGGAAGTAGCTATAGATATTGAATATACCTATAATAGAGTCCAGCTGCACATTCCATTTTTCTAACAAAATGCTCAGAATTGGCATCCATGTAATATGTGTAGGATGGGTTATATATGCACTAACTACCAGAAGATACATAGTGAAGCATGTAATATGACAATTAGACTGAATCACTATCAACACTGGTCTGCTTCATGGGTCACCACTCTTGCCAGTCCACTTCAACATCAACACTATGGATCTAGCCTGCTTTAACAGTCCAAACAAGTTTTGTGAACTAACCTTTGCTGATATCATTTTAGTGTACAGCAGAGGCTCTAGCAAAACTAAACTTGAAAGCAAGATTCAACCATCCATTAACAAAGTGAGTAAATGGTGCAATAACTCAGGAATGATCACCAATCCTGCCACAGCCATGTTCCACACTCAACAATAGACATGCTGATGAGGACAAACTATCCCCATCCTTTGCAAACTTGGGGGTAATCTTTGACTAACAACTCAAATTCACCAGCCACATTAACACCATGATAACCAGAGCTATCAAAATCATGTATGCACTAATATCTGCAACAGGAAATAGAGCTGAAGAATTTAAACCTACTGATGCTCTACCAAAGTCTTATCCACTCCGTTGTGAATTATAAACTACAGATGATCAGTATAAGTGCTATACATCTGAATACGATTGAAAAGATATAAAACAAGTGTTTAACATTGGTCATGGGATATACTTCAGCAGCATTATAAAACACAGACAAACAGCTCTTAGAAGCAAAACATTGAAAGATCATGCATTTCATCATCAAGCTTCATAACAACCCCACAGACATCAACCAAGCAGGGATTGCCTAAAATGCATCTCAGAGGACAGTGATGGATGGACAATTGTTACACAGCCACTAATGGGATAATTCATCACCACCATATTTCAGAGCAACTGTGTGGTTTATGTCAGGACATGAAGGAGTGAAGATAGCAGAGGAAGTTGGCAAGCTTGCAGGAGACCCTTTATGAAATTCAGCACAACCTGTCTCCATGAAGGGTCAGCACCTATTGGCAAAACCCTTGAGATTGGCCTAGAAATCAACTCAACTGGGATTTCTTTATAATTAAATTCAGATATATTGCCTAATACATTAATGTTATGTGAGTTTCAGAATACGTTCATAATTTCAACTTAATGTATTCATTCAGTGCTTAAAGATTTGTACTGATTAGTGGTTATTTCAAGTTAAGTGTACCTCAAGGAATTAAAAAAATGTTGATAAGGAGAATACTGTATAAACATTGTCACTCTGTAAATGTGCTATGCATGTTACAGTGACATAACATGAAGTACAGTAGCCATGTTCAAGTAAAAGCTATGTAAAAAGAGGGTATAGCCATCAATCACACAATATGCATATGAACATTCCCTGCTCAGAATTTAATGTGATATTGTTATATTTATCAAATATATAAAAGTTACACTGATGTTCATTAAATGGAAACAGTTAAAAATGACATACCTACCTGTGGATATGTCATAAACTGCATGTTTTACTGAATGCAATTGTACTTATTTCCAATATGCACATCTCTTTTTTTCTTGTAGTTAACCTATCAGGATTATTGACTATAAACAAGTTTAAGTACTTGTTTAATCTTTATATACACTTGCTTTTGTGTGAAGAACTCTCAGATCTGAAACAGCCATTAAGTAAATAAAAATACCATTTAATGTTAAATGATATTTATTTCCAATGCAAGTCAACTTAAATATAGATCTTTTACAAGCATCATATTTATTGTTAAAGTATGCAATTAATTAAATTTAATAAGAAATGTTGTGCATTATCATGTTACTTACTGTAAAGTGTCTTTGAATATGCAAAATTGTCACAAAGTGTGTTGGAACATTTAGAGTTGGAGAATTTCTTTTAGTATACAAGTAAGATTCATGACAAAAAATCATGCCAACTGCAGCTGTCCTCCCCCTTCACATCCTTTTCAATTTGTATATTATGGACCCAAAACTAGAGGCACGTAAAAGTTGAATTTCAGATTTATCTGCTAGGCTCCCACAAGTCACTGTTCAAAAGGACCTTTCATTGAATACCAGAACTTGTCAGATGGGTTGGACAATGAAAGATTCTCTGGAATACCATTTATATATGCAGTATAACACTCCAAAAGCTATGGCCCAAACACCAAAAGCTGAGAAAGCACCAAAATCCAAGCGACCCAAGATTTGTGATAAATTAATTGAGAGGTGTGTGGGAGGGGATATTTGCAGATGATGTGATTTTTGTCACAGATCTTGGGCCTGATGGTTTCTGGTGCTTCACTAGCTTTTAGCATTTAGGCCATTGCATTTGTACAAGAGTATACGAAATTCATCAACATTTATTCTTGAGAATTGTACTATACTCATCAAAGTGTGAAGTTTCCTTCAATGATTTGCTTCGAAGTGTTGTAAATACATGAAACATAGTTCTATTATAGAAGACAACCATAGGAAGAAAAATTTACTTATGAAATCTATCAGCATAATGAAACTATGGAAATGGGTCTACCTGGTGTATTATACTGCATTCTTCCCGAGTGATTCATTTGAACATTCTCTGTCCGAATTCTCTTATTTTTCCTATGGTGAAGATTATTAAAAACATCAAAAGCTAGAAAATATTGGTGAGGTTTAAAGAAAAAGCGATCATTGCAAAACAGCAATCCAAACTTGGGTTCTGCTGGGGCTTCATGGAGGATTTTATAAAAGTGGGCACCAACCCCAACATTTCTGCTACAAACATAATTCTGTTTATCATCAGTTGAATTGATGTGAGCATCAATAAAAATGTCATCATCACCATCACTATATTCTGCAACCTAAAAAAGAAGTAAATGTACTTCAGTAAATTATTATTGCAAATATGTTTATTTTTTTATACACAGAATGATTTGAATACTCATAAAAGTCTGGATAGTTTACATAACAACATTTAAGAACAATGAGAGACCTGTGGTCAATCCAGGCTTTCTCATTCACTAAATTAAACTATTAATGAAAAAAAACCTCAAAGAAAGCCCTTATTATTCACATATTAATCAAACATTCTATTAAATTCCCTTAAATTAACTGCTTCCATCAAATCTGACAGCAATCTATTCCAATAGCCAACTAACCTGTTGGAAAATTAGCTTAAACTAAATCCTATCCTGCCAAAATGTATGTCCTCTAGTCCTACCTTCACAGCTATTAAGTGCCATAAAAAAAAAATGAGGCTGCATCAATACTATCAATTCCCTTAATGATCTTATACATCTAAATTAAGTCCTCTCTAACTCTTTATGTAATAGAAAACAACTTTATGAAAGCCTTTCTTTCCCAGGTATAATCCTAGTAGCTCTCCCCAGAACCCTTCATTGTCCTTTCTAAGGAAGAGTGCCCAAGACTGAACACACTATTCCAAATGTGGCCTAACTAGCAACCTATACAATGAAATTACAACTTTAGACTTGTATGCAATATTTCTGTAGATATAACCTAAAAATCCAATTTGTCCTAACATTAGCAATAGTGCACTGCTTGGATGGCTTAAGAGACTGACCAACCAGAACACCAAGATCTTGTTCTTCCTTGATAAGTTATGGTTATTCCCATCAAAATTATAATTATAATTCAAATTATGATAACCCACATGCACTACCATGTATTTGTTATTATTAAAGGCCATATTCCATTTATTTGCCCAACTCACCAATTGATCTAAATACTTTTATAAAGGAACAACATCCTTCTCACAGCCAGCAACACCCAAAACATAACAGGAAACAAAAATAATAAAACCATAGAACTGAGTGAAAGTAAAAAAAGAGTGTATTATAATATGTCAGCCAAACTTTGCTGATAAAGAACTGTGACACATATTTAGCTAGTTGGTCTGGAGCAGCAAATGTAACCTCCTCCAGTAGGTCTTTGGGTATATCCCCTTCTTAAAATGAATTTTGTGTATTTTAAGCATAAAATGTTTGAAATAAACTGTACAATTTAATAATATCATTGAATAAAATGTACTCAATTTTGTATTTGAAAAACCATACAATTCCTTAAAACTGCTACCTTTTTTGATAAATTGATTCCGAAACACACGTTCACAGAACTTGAAATTGTAGAAGTGTATTTTTATAGAATTATAATGACTGAGTTTGTATTAAATACACTGTGGACTGGATGAAATGTTGAGATTGTGCTCAGTTACTTTTGTCACATATTTTAATTTTTAAAATAATATAACATTAAACTTTAAAAAATAATTTGAAAGTAGAAAAATGCTTTAGGTTTATCATGAATTATATAAAGTACTTTTCCACTTCCACATAAGTTTTTGAATTTTAAACCAAAGATCCAGTAAACTGGAACTTCCTTTCTAATTTTCCCTTTCCAGCTAGGTAGCTGAATAGATGCCAAAACTGTGACTGTCTCAGGAAAACTGGGATATATGCAGCATTTCCCCCAGGAACTGAAATTAGAGAGGATGTTCAAATTTTTAGAGAGGTGAGAGACAAGACTGCGAAGGTGAAGACTGGTTGTATGGCACTAAAATAAAAACTCAAAAAATGTTCCACATCCATTCTATCAGGTAAATAACTTCCATAATTAACTGTCAATACTATCTCAATTTACTGTTAAAAACTCTTATGTGCTAATGAAAATATCAAATTATATGAGACAACTTAATTTCTGCCCAACAACTAAATGGAATTTTTATCAAATAGAATTCTTTTAAAATAATGACTAATTTGGTAGCACTTCATTTGTCTAATTGACTACTATGGGGGTGATGAGAAAGTTCAGGGAGGATGCATAATCACTGAAGGGTGGGGGAACCCATGTAACTTTTATTGTTATATATGTTTTACTTATCCAAAATTATCCTAAGTGGTTAAAATGGTAATATAAAACAAACTTTTTCAGTTCATCCACAAAAGTCTTCCTCTGGATGATTAAAGGGTGTATTTAAATTTTAAAAAATTTTTTGATAAGGTACCACACAAAAGATTAGCTAAGAAAATCACATCAGTAAGGGTTTAAAAAAAAGACGAGTTAACTGGATTGTAAGATGGATGGATGAGAGAAAAGCAAAAGGTTGTTACTAATGGAGCCCAGTCATACTGGAGCCTTGTTACTAGTGGAGTACCTTGGGGATCAGTCTTGGAGCTTTTGCTTTTTATAATTTAAATTAATAACAATGTAAAGGGCAAAATTAGTAAAGTCTTGGGTGTTTCTAGCTATACTGAGGATAGTAAGGTATTAAAGGACAATTTGAATCAATTGATGAGTTGGACAAATATCTGGTAATGTATTTAGGTTATAATTTAGATCAAACATGTAATATAGAAGGGAACCCACTCAATAGCATGAGTGAAGAAAAATATTTTTGCATAGTGGTGGATAAGTTGCCCAAACTACTAAAGCAGTGCTCTGTTGCAGGTAGTATAATTAATTTTAGAGTGTATTTATTGACATACAAGTCCAAAGAAGTAAATAACTTTCAATACAAATCCCTTGTTAGGTCTCACTTGGAATGCTGTGTAAAGGTTTAGTCTCTTCTTGTTTAACAAAGGATACTGACTTATTGGAAAACATTCAGAAAAGGGCCACCAGGATGCTTCTGAGATTAAAGGATTATATGGACAGGTTAAGATATGTTAAATTATTTTATCATAAGAAATAATGGATAAAGGATGAATTTATTGAAGTTTACAAGATTATTTAGGGGATTGATATGATAAAAGCCTCTTATTTCTATGTGCTGTAATCGGTAGATAACAGGACTAGAGGACATAAGTTTAACACTTGAGAAAGACAGCTTAGGCTCCAGTTAACACAGTTATATTGTTCTAACAGGGTGATAGACTTCTGGAATGAGTTACCACTTGCAGTATTGGAAGCCAAAGTTTAAGAGGGGAATCAATGTGCCATGAAGGATCAAATGGTACCTTTTGTGTCTGTCTTGCATGTTATGTCATGATATACAGATAATAGCATAAATGAGAAACTCAGAGCTATACAAGTTAAGCACAAGTTTAAATTGTTCATATAATTAACACTTGCCTTAAGTAGCACAACATAGAAGACAATATCATTAAATAGTTACTTTTAATGACTGCAAAAAATTCAACACATATGTATAATTATTAAACAATTATTTACTCTCAACATATTTTAATTTTGGTATTATATAAATTAGAGTGGGTAAAGCACTTATAGGGGTGAAAATCTCATAGATAGTTATAATAAAATGCTCAAAACCTACAACTCACTAACTTTTGATAGAAATACGATACATCTAAAAATAATGTCTGGAAAGGAATAAGTTATATGAGCAGAACATAAGCTAAATATTCTATAGGACACAATTATCTTAAGTTTATTCAGACTTATAAAGAAAACTTAAACAAAGCAAATCGTATTAACTTCTGATTAGAGAAACTACTTATTTAGATCAAAACTTAAAATCAACCTGGTAATGAGTCAAACTTATTATATTTTTTTAAAATATTAAAATGCATTGTTTCATCAGTTGGATACCTTTGCTGTTAACAATATTTTTGGTCAGCTTAGGAGATTTATGTTAATCCTAAATCCATATACTAAGCTAAAAATGCAAAATAATAAATATGTATCAAGGATGTGGGATCAATCATATTTAATGGTACCCCAAATATGAAAAAATAAGAAAATTATCTACATTTCTTACAATAACTTTAACTTAAACATTTAAAAAACATATACTTTAAAAATGAAGTCTATGAAAACAAAGCTACAATGGCAATCTTTTTTTTTTAGGAAGTCACTTATAAAGTTTATTCATGGGAGCATTAAAATATAATAATTAATATATACACAGATCTTTTAAAGTGGGTAGAACATTAAAATAACACTGTCATTGATAGGTATGTAAAAAGCACATTATTATATGGTCATTACTCAATATGGTAAAGTTTGTTAATATATTGTTGGACTAAATTTAAATAAGGCATATTATTATTATTACTGTGTAAATGGGAGTGTTTTAAAGAGGCAGTTGATTTTTCTCCTCATAAGTTACAGCGATTTTAACTTTTCAATTTTATTGGTTGATATATAGTGACTCCTGAAAATTTTATCATTATTTTTACTCAGTATGATTCAAGAATTTTCTTATTCTTTATGCTTACATTTCAGTCCTCTTAACGTGAAATGATGAATGTTATGCAACAGACACATATTAACAAATTTCGGTTTATAAACTTCACAAACACATTTGCTATTCTTGTTTGATGTCGATGTCTATACGAAAACTAACGTATTTACAAACATCCTTAAGTTACAACAAACAAATCGTTTACTCCATCGTACCTGAAACATCCAAAAAATGTCATGTCGCTTCTTTTTGATAGTTTGTGACACAATGTTCCATAGTTTACAAACAAGAGCACACGTGTTCAAGTCAGATATTGAAAGACCGTTCAGTATACGTTCAACAATTATATAATTTGTTGTTAACACCTGGCCGATACTTTCTTCTATTGAACATTTTGCTTTACTTTCAGAAAATAACTTCCTACCATTTGAAATAGCTTCGTCATCTCCAAGTTGTTTGTGTTCCATATTCTAACTTCTATTTCTTGATTTCTAATTTTCAAAGTGAAAGTTGAAGCTAAAATCGCTTGAAAATAACATAACACAGTAAATTATGTTTGATGGTGCTGTCCTCTAGTGATAAACTTTATTTTTTAATAAAGTTTTTGTTATTTAAATTTTTAACTTGGAACATGATTAATTGACAAATACAAAACATAAGAGAGGGGAACGCGAATGATGTAATTTAAAAAGTACAAAATAGTACAATATTACTCCAAAGTGATTATTAGAATCACACGTAAATATGATGACCAGAATACATTGAGTGATTGGTGAAGAGTATGAAAAGCTATATAACTGGTTTTCCTGCTTATGTAAAAAGCAAATTAAACACGCACACACACACACACACAATCTGTAGCTGTAGTTATAAGATGATCGTAATAAAATAAAAATCATCTGTAATTTATGGGAAATAAGCTATCATTTCTTAGCGATTAACAGTACAAAAAAGATACAGATCTGTTTATGGCATATAGTTATAAAAGATGTGTCGTACGATAAAATAGGGAGTTTAATTAAACGTTTTTTCTTGATTTTGGCATAATTCAAAAATACTTCTATTCGATATTATTAAGATACAGTTTTCTAGCAAACGATTTTTTCTTTAGAACTATATTAAACTTCACGCTAAGCATATCATCTTAAGGGCAAACAATAAAGAAAACAGTAACGATTATGGTACAAAATCTTCATGTAAGCAAGGATTAATTATTCTGATTTGTTTTAGTCACATCGAAATGGAAAGCAAATATAAAATATAATAAGGATAGATCGAACTTATTACTTTATTGGTAAAAAAAAAAAACTTGTATGAGTAGAGCTCTTTTTAAAACTATTTGAAGATTTTACTTATATTATATGTTAAAATAAAAGTTTTAGGATAACCTACTATTTTCAAAAGTATTTGAAATTTGTTATATTTTCTGACATGATTCGCATAAACACGTAAAAACATACATATCTAAACGTATTAGAATGCTTACAGCGTCATCTATTGAGTACTATTAAAATTAACAAGTTAATATATATATTTAACGTCAGCACGTTAATATTCACCTAATCAAACAACAAAGTTTAAAGGATGCATATATTGCTGCCATGTATCTCTTTTTACATGGGACTCTGCCGTAAGTTTGACATCTTATAATGCTAAAAATCGGGTTTCGATATCCGTGGTGGGAAGACCACAGATTACCAATTATATGGCTTTGGACTTAACAACAAACTCTACAGATGCAATAAATAAATATTTGTCATTTTACTCACATACACACACACAGAAAATCTTGAACAACGGACTAATATGACATTTTTCAAATTTCATTTCAGTGTGGGAATATAACTTAAAATTCAACTAATACTCAGTAATAGTGCTGCTATTGTATTTAGTGCAGCACTATTGTATTTCTCTTAGCAATCTAAGCCTTTAAGTTAAATGCAGATTTAACTACGTTATTTTTGATATATTTATAATCAAGCCATTTTAAGTTTCGAAGTATTTTCTTAATGACATTGTAATTCACTTTAATTGAATATATAAGACGAGGTTTATAAAAGCATGTATATACATATATATATGTATAATATCATAAACACTAGTCTCAATCTTACACATCACTGATTGTATATGCAGTGCGTTGCATGTATATATAAATATGCATATCCTGCGGTTTAATGGCGAGTTCATCAAGAGAGAGACAACATCCTTTGATGGCTTCATTATGAAGCCATGCGTTACGTAAGGTTAACATTAATCATTGTTAAACAGTAATATTATAGGCATTCTCAGAACAACAGACCTTGGGTTTGACAGGGTGAAACATCGCTTTGAATCGAATGAACGAGTTCATCAAATCTGTAGAGGCTCATAGAAGTAAATGTGAATAAGTTGTGGCTGGAGTTGAATTATGAGTGGTACTAGTTCATATGGAAGTTCGTGTTAAATTTTGAACCATATTGAAAACGTTGATAACAATAACTAAAGTATTGATAACTATACTGTGAAGGAACAAACATGCTTGTTCAATACTTTTCGAAAGTTTAAGCACAGAGTAAGAAAATATATTGTTCACAAAGACTAAATGGCTGAAGGATGTTTTAACAATACAGTTAGTTAAAGAGCAACAACAAACTTTTAAAGTATTTGTCGGTTATTTTATTTTTGGGTATTAAAATTTGGATTTAGCAACCCAATGACCTAACCAGAAGATACATACCATCACACATGGCGACGGGCCATAGGTGTGAAATTACACACAATGAAACAGTAGATACGTAGTATAGTGACACTTTTAACGTTCACTTTAGGATGAATATGAAAATATATACTTTAATGATAATATTTATATAGTCTCTGAAAATAGAAAAAATGCGGAGTCTTAATGCAACTTTTCACTGCGTAGAAAATTATAAAAACATTCAGTTTCTTTTCCTCCTTAATTCTATATAATTATTAGTGAACTGTATTAAACAGGAAAATATTAAAGTCAGATGTCTTAAGAATAGATAGAAAAGTGAGACATGAGTAGTTTCTTCGAGACCCTGGAATTCAAAGAATGCCGCTGCCTAGGGTTACACAACTGCTACATAATAAACAAAGGATGCCGCCTGAAGGTTACACAACTATTACGTAATATGCAAATTATGCTGACATAATAGGCACCAGAGAGTAATGGCGTTCACGAAGTGACACCAGAGGGTGCTTGGTATGATTAGTGCGCAGATAGTTGGCGAGCGAACCACCGGATGGTGATGTAGATCAATGTGTTTCAACTTTATAGTAAAAATTAAGGTATCAAAATTAATAATTCAATCTAATCAAGACACACGATAGTGTATCGTACGGCCAAAACAACCTGTAGGACACACTGTGTGTTATTAACAGGAGTGATAGTTTAGTGTATAGCGTCACGTGATATAAGCTTAAGCGATAAGCGTAAACAATGATGCTTGATATGGCTGTACCGAGTGCATGTCAGTGATGACAAGAAACTATTAATCTAGATTCTATGGTGTTACTATAAATGAAGTTATTACAGTGATTTAGAGAGTAACACTACCACCACATATTTTAAAGAATCTGGTTGGCTCTGTAATATATAGGTCTGTTCCGAATAACAGACTTGCGATCCTAATGCTAATGTTGGCTACTATCAAGTGTCACTTTATTACTTGTTGTGGTTTGTTGGTGTGTATTGACAAAAATCATGATATCTAATCAAAAATTGGGCCCGGCATGGCCAGGTGGTTAAGACGCTCGACTCGCAATCTGCGGGTCGCGGGTTCGCATCCCCGTCCCACC